TGTCTAACAGTGTTGTTGGCCTGACTGGATGTAGCTTCACGTAATGTGTTTTTCAGGTTTGTTGAATTCTCGTCTCTCATCTTTTTGTTGTGTTTACATTCCGGGATTTGTTCTTGACACCTGATGAAGATCGCCGGCGTTGTGATCGAAACGTCGTGATTGTTGTTTGTTTTAATATAATTTTATTGTATTTCTAAACACGTGACTTTACCGAAAAAACCAATGAGTAATTTTATGCAGTCACGAAAGGTTTACTACTTTATTATCACACTTCTACGGGGAAGTTACCATTGTAATTATGTGTAAGATGTGCCCTTTTTTGAGCTGCCATTTTGTATTTACAAGAGGTGGTCATTTGTTGAGCTGCCGTTTTGTATTCACAAGAGGTGGTCCTTTTATGTGCTGCCCCCTCTCTCTCTCTGCCTCCCTGTCCGTCTTTCCTCCCTCCTTACCTCTTGGTGGACTTGTATATGTATTTCTACTGACCGTGTACCTCGTATTTTTCATTCTATCTATGCTGCTATGTGCAATCCAAAGGTTGAACAAGAAATGTAACACCCTCCTGAAATCCGTGGTCCGCCAGGAAGTGTCTAACTGTGTCGTTGGCCTGACTGGATGTGGCTTCACGTAATGTTTTGTCAGATTTGTTGAATTCTCGTCTCTCCATCTTCTTGTGTTTGTATTTACCTCCCGTGATTCGTTCTTGACACCTGATGAAGATCGCTCGCGTTGTGATCGAAACGTCGTGATTGTTGTTTTTCGTTTTAATATAATTTTATTGTATTTCTAAACACGTGACTTTACCGAAAAAACAATTAGTAAGACAACTTAGATTAAGGCCGTCAGTCTAACTCCGTACTACAACAAAACAAACATGGCCAAACCAAAAAACTTTTAGAAATCACCAAAATACAGCCATAAATGCAATGTAACAGTGATCACAGTGACTGTGACCGAATTTTTAACAATAAACTACATAAATAACATGTAACACCAAATCCTAGAGCCACAGCTGGCTGCATGAGTTACTCCACAAACAACAGGAGCATCAGTCGGAGTATCACATTTTTCAATGCACCTTTAAGATCAGCACGCTAAATCAAAATACAGATAATACTTTGCAGCGGTCATCCGGAGCGAAACATTTTATTTTATTTTAGGCCACTGAATAGCAGCGGCAGCTAGGGGTGTACAACTCCTCTAGAGCAGTTTTGAGAGAACTCATTGGTAGCGATTCAAGTCGCAGTTTATTGGCAATAGCATTCCAGACCCTGGGGGCATCAATAGCAAAGGCCCTTCCTCCAGTTTTTGTACGGCAATAGGGAATGTGAAGCTGGTAAATGAGCGAAGACCTGAGGTCAAATTTGTTCTTTGAAACAGAGAGGAGATCCAGCAGCAGGTAAAGTCTGCGGATTTTTTTGTAAGCACATCGTGAATCAATAAGATCCGGTGCACAAGCCGTCGAACATTCAGAGATGTTAAGTTTGACCCAATGTAGAGATCACAGTGGTGAGTCCTATATGGGCAGTTCAATGTAAATCTTAAGGCCGAGTGATAGATGGAATCAAGCTTCTTCAGTACAGTACTTGGGGCTGATTTATACACGATGTTACAGTAGTCAAGTAGAGGCAGTATGGTAGCTTTTATCAATTCCAAACGGAACATTGGGGGAAAGCAGTGCTTGTGTTGATACAGAAAACCAATTTTTATTTTTGTCTTTTTTCCAATATATTCAATGTGATCTTCAAAACTCAGTTTTGAATCCAGGATGACCCCAAGATACTTATAGATCTTGACTTGCTCTATTTGACAATTATTTAAGGAATGTAATTGGGGAAAAATAACTTCCTGCTTTAGTCCTGGTGAGAAGCATAGCACCTTGGTTTTGGAGGTATTCAGGACTAGTTTAAGAGCAACTAGCTGATGTTGTAGTTTGTTGAAATCACCCTGGAGCTTAGCAATCACCGTCATCCGGAGAGCGGCCAGCGGTGATCAGTATCGTGTCATCTGCAAAAAGATTTACCCTGGAATGATCCGGGTCAGTGCCCAAGTCATTGACATAAAGAGAGAACAAGAGGGGGCCGAGGATGGAACCCTGTGGAACCCCTTTTGATATCTTCACACTGTTTGACCTCCAATCATCTGTGAATACAGTTTGGGTGCGAGAAAAGAGGTAATTTTTTAACCATTTTACTGCGTTTTTGGAAAAACCGAGGCAACTTAGTTTACTAAGCAGGGTGTTGTGGTCTACTGTATCAAAAGCTTTGGACAGGTCAAGAAAAAGACAGGCACAGTACTGCTTATTATCAAGGCTACTGTAAATGTGATTCAGCGAGTCTAATGCAGCAGATGTGGTGCTGTATTCTTTTCAGAACCCCAGATTGTTTTAGATGTAGTAGATTGTTGGTGGACAGGAAACTGCTAATTTGGCAGCTCAATAATTTTTCAAAAATTTTCATCAACGGGGACAAAGTTGAGATAGGTCGGTAGTTATTTGGGTCATCTTTAGGGCCCCCTTAGTGAAGTGGACGGACATAGGAATGTTTCCATTCTCGAGGAACTGATGCTTCTTTGATGGACAGGTTGAAAATATGGGCTATAGGTTTGTATATTTGGTGACCAACAGTTAGTAGAGCAAAGACGGGAAAACTATCTGCTCCGGTAGAGGAGGACCCTTTGAGGTAGGACAGTTGTTTCAGAACATTACTTTCGTGGATTGGCTGGAAACTAAATTCGTTTAATGTTTGGACAGGGGTGTAGGGATTTGCATGAGCAGGGGTGACTCCCAAAACATTATCAAGAAGATTACCGCCTTCAGAAAAACGAAGGTTACAATTATGAGGCCTTTGCCAGTAACAAGATATGGTAATAGGTTTTACCCTTTTAACTGGCAAAAAAAACTGACACCTTTATTCAAGGCATCATGTCTGCAATAACCACAACACAAGCAGTCAAAATGCAAACAAAAGAGGCAACTCTGATAATAATAATGATATTGGCACTGTCCTTGAATTTGATTGGTCCACACCAGAGACGGCTTTTCTTAGAGCCCTTTAGTCTCCATTGGTGTTGGACCAGAAGACGCCAAAAGGCGTACAACTCAAAAAACAGTGCACTATCAGAGTATTGAGGGCTCGGGGTGAGCATTTACATTATGAGACCTCCTTTGCCAGTAACAAGATATAGTCTTGTGGTCCAACACCAGTGGAGACTAAAGGGCTCTAAGAAAAGCCGTCTCGGAGTGTGGACCAATCAAATTCAAGGACAGTGCCAATATTATTATTATCAGAGTTGCCTCTTTTGTTTGCATTTTGACTGCTTGTGTTGTGGTTAATGCAAACATGACGCCTTGAATAAAGGTGTCAGTTTTTGTGCCAGTTAAAAGGGTAAAACCTATTACTATGAGGTTAAAATTGTCAACTATTTTTTTGGGATCTGAAAAATATTCCCCATTTCGGTTAAGCTCAACGGGCAGATTATCTGTTTTGGATGCCTTTTCGATACATTTGATTGTTTTCCAGAACATTCTGGCATTTCCATGTGATTCCAGGAAAAGTGGAATTGAAATAGGCATTTTTTGCATGCCACATTTTTTTGACGCATCTATTCCTTAAAGTCTTGTATTCTAGCCAGTCACTGACCAAATTACTTTTGTGAGCACATGCCCAAGCCTTGCCCCTAGTTTTCATGATCTTTGTAATCAAAGGATCATAGAGACACACAGAGACCCATAGAGACTCATAGACTCATAGAGACCCGCAGAGTGACCCATAGAGACACACAGAGACTTATAGAGACCCACAGAGACTCATAGAGACACACAGAGACCCAGAGAGACTCATAGAGACACACAGAGACCCACACTGTGACCCATAGAGACCCACAGAGTCTCAAAGAGACCCACACAGTGACCCATAGAGACCAACAGAGACTCATAGAGACCCACAGAGACCCACACAGTGACCCATAGAGACCCACAGAGACTCATAGAGATACACAGAGTGACCCATAGAGACACACAGAGACCCACAGAGACTCATAGAGACACACAGAGACCCACAGAGACCCATAGAGACTCATAGAGACACACAGAGACCCATAGAGACACACAGAGACCCACAGAGACTCATAGAGATACACAGAGTGACCCATAGAGACACACAGAGACCCATAGAGACCCACAGAGACCCATAGAGACTCATAGAGACTCATAGAGACACACAGAGACCCATAGAGACACACAGAGACCCATAGAGACCCATAGAGACTCACAGAGACCCATAGAGACCCATAGAGACACACAGAGACACACAGAGACCCACAGAGACTCATAGAGACACACAGAGACCCACAGAGACCCATAGAGACTCATAGAGATTCATAGAGACACACAGAGACCCATAGAGACACACAGAGACCCACAGAGACTCATAGAGACACACAGAGACCCACAGAGACCCATAGAGACTCATAGAGACTCATAGAGACCCATAGAGACACACAGAGACCCATAGAGACTCATAGAGACCCACAGAGACTCACAGAGACTCATAGAGACACACAGAGACCCATAGAGACTCATAGAGACACACAGAGACCCATAGAGACACATAGAGACCCATAGAGACTCATAGACTCATAGAGACACACAGAGACCCACAGAGACCCATAGAGACTCATAGAGACTCATAGACTCATAGAGACTCATAAGAGACACACAGAGACCCACAGAGACTCATAGAGACACACAGAGACCCATAGAGACTCATAGAGACACACAGAGACCCATAGAGACTCATAGAGACACACAGAGACCCATAGAGACACATAGAGACCCATAGAGACTCATAGACTCATAGAGACAGAGACCCACAGAGACCCACACAGTGACGTCACCTCTTAATCACCGCGTCCCACCCCTCCCCACCCCCGCCCCCACCACCTCAATCCCCCCTCCACCCCCCACCCCCACCCCTCCATCACAACCCCCCCCACCCCACCCCCGCGCGCATGCGCAGTGCAAAGCGGCGCGATGGCTGCCCGCAGCCATGTGCAGGATCCTAACGACCGCCGCCTGAGGCCTGTCTACGGTAACGGGGGTCGCGCGCGCGGTCTGCCGCGCCGGGAGGTAGCGGCGGTAGCGGCGGCGGCGGCGGCGCTACCGCGACATCTCTCGGGCACGAGCGGGGCTGCCACTCGGCTCACTCGCACAGCCACCACCCCCGCCCCGCGAGCTTAGAGCGTCCAACCCCGTAAACCGAGGGGGTAGGGTGGGGGGGGGGGGTGCTCGACTAGCGGGGCCCCGGTGGTGCGGTGGGGGGGGAGGCGGCCGGCGGATCCAGGAAAGGCCGTAGGCTGAGGCCTAAGGGACCGTGGTCTCGTTGGCTGCAGACTTTAGTTTGTGATGGTGGGAGACGGGGTTGGGTTTGTAAATGGCCATACTTCACCAGTCCGGTCACCCGCGCGCGCGCGCGTGTGTGTGTGTGGTTGGGTAGAATGTGTGGGTGGTGGGGTGGCTGGGAGGGGAGCGGTGGGGCAGCGGTTAGCGCTACGAACCCGGGTCTCTGTCTCTGTGTGTCTCTGTAGGTCTCTATGGGTCTCTATGGGTCTCTGTGTGTCTCTGTGTGTCTCTATAGATCTCTATGGGTCTCTGTGTGTCTCTATAGATCTCTATGGGTCTCTGTGTGTCTCTATAGATCTCTATGGGTCTCTATGGGTCTCTGTAGGTCTCTATGGGTCTCTGTCTGTCTCTATGGGTCTCTGTGTGTCTCTGTAGGTCTCTATGGGTCTCTATGGGTCTCTATGGGTCTCTGTGTGTCTCTGTAGATCTCTATGGGTCTCTATGGGTCTCTATGGGTCTCTGTGTGTCTCTGTAGATCTCTATGGGTCTCTATGGGTCTCTGTGTGTCTCTGTAGATCTCTATGGGTCTCTATGGGTCTCTGTGTGTCTCTGTAGATCTCTGTGTGTCTCTGTAGATCTCTATGGGTCTCTGTGGGTCTCTGTGTGTCTCTGTAGATCTCTATGGGTCTCTATGGGTCTCTGTGTGTCTCTGTAGATCTCTATGGGTCTCTATGGGTCTCTATGGGTCTCTGTGTGTCTCTGTAGATCTCTATGGGTCTCTATGGGTCTCTGTGTGTCTCTGTAGGTCTCTATGGGTCTCTATGGGTCTCTAGATCTCTGTGTGTCTCTGTGTGTCTCTGTAGGTCTCTGTAGGTCTCTATGGGTCTCTATGGGTCTCTCTGGATCTCCGTGGATCTCAGTGTGTCTCTGTGTGTCTCCATATATCTCTATGGGTCTCTATGGGTCTCTGTGGGTGTCTGTGGGTCTCTGTGTGTTTCTATAGATCTCTATGGGTCTCTATGGGTCTCTATGGGTCTCTGGATCTCAGCGGGTGTCTGTGGGTCTCTATGGGTCTCTATGGGTCTCTGTGGATCTCAGTGGATCTCTGTGGGTCTCTATGGGTCTCTATGGGTCGTGTTTTAGTTTTTTTGTTTTGGTTGCACCCAATTCAAGAGCCGAATGGCTCACAGGGCTATACCAAAAATGAATAATATGAAACTGAAAACTGAGTCTCTATGGGTTTCTGGGTCAATGGGAGTCTCTCTGTGGATTTCTATGGGTCTCTATGGTGATCTGTGGGTCTCTGTGTGGGTCTCTATGCGGGGAGTGGTGGTGCAGTGGTTAGCGCTGCGCTACTAACCCAGATAGACCCTAGTTCGATTCCCGCTCACGGCCGCCACCACCACCACCACCAGTGACAGCGATTATCTGAACCGGTCCTGGGCCTCCCCTAGGTCGACTCAGCCTGAACTGAGTAGCTGGTGTAGCTGTGGTGTGTAGTGAACATCGCCAGCACTGGGGGAGAGACAAAGGCGGCCGGGCGTGGTGCTGGGGGATCTTTGTCTGTGTGTGTGTAGGTGCTGCTACGCGCTACTAACAGCACTTGCCCCTACAGCCTGCTAGAGGCTACCTGGGGGATCTTTGTCTGTGTTTAGGTGCTGCTACTCGCTACTAACAGCACTTGCCCCTACAGCCCTGCTAGAGGCTACCTGGAGGATCTTTGTCTGTGTGTGTAGGTGCTGCTACTCGCTACTAACAGCACTTGCCCCTTCAGCCTGTTACAGGCTATACGGGGGATCTTTGTGTGTGAGTGTGTAGGTGTGTGCGTGCATGAGTGGGTAGGTGAATGAATGGGTGGGTGAGTGAGTGTGTGAGTGTATGAGCGAGTCAGTGTGTCAGTGAGTGTGTTGGTGAGTGGGTGAGTGAGTGTGTACGTGAGTGTGTACGTGAGGGGGTGGGAGAGTTTCAGTAAGTGTGTCAGTAAGTGTGTCAGTGAGTGTGAGTGAGTGGGTGAGTGTATGAGTGAGTCAGTGGGTCAATGTGTGAGTGAGTGTGTATTTGGGTGGGTGGGTGAGTGAGTGAGTGTGTCAGTGAATGGGTGAGTGAGTGGGTGTGTGTGTGAGAGTGTGAGTGAGTGAGTGGGTGGGGTGTGTGTGAGAGTATGTGAGAGTGTGAGTGAGTGGGTGGGTGTGTGGGGTGTATGTGTGTGAGAGTCTGAGAGTGTGTGTGAGTGAGTGGGTTTGGGTGTGGGGTGTGTGAGTGTCTGAGAGTGTGAGTGAGTGGGTGGGTGTGTGGGGTGTGTGAGTATGTGAGAGTGTGGGTGGGTGTGTGGGGTGTGTGAGTATGTGAGAGTGTTTGTGGGTGGGTGTGTGGGGTGTGTGAGTATGTGAGAGTGTGAGGGAGTGAGTGGGTGTGTGTGTATGTGACAGTGTGTGTGAGTGGGTGTGTGGGGTGTGTGTATGTGAGAGTGTGTGTGAGTGGGTGGGTGTGTGGGGTGTGTGTGTATGTGAGAGTGTGTGTGAGTGGGTTGGTGTGTGGGGGATGTGAGTATGTGAGAGTGTGAGTGAGTGTGTGGGGTGTGTGTGTATGTGAGAGTGTGTGTGAGTGGGTGGGTGTGTGGTGTGTGTGTGTATGTGAGAGTGTGAGTGAGTGGGTGGGTGTGTGGCGTGTATGTGTGTGAGTGTCTGAGAGTGTGAGTGAGTGGGTGGGTGTGTGAGTATGTGAGAGTGTGTGTGAGTGGGTGTGTGGGGTGTGTGAGTGTGTGAGAGTGTGAGTGAGTGGGTGTGTGGGGTGTGTGAGTATGTGACAGTGTGAGTGAGTGGGTGGGGTGTATGTGTGTGAGTGTCTGAGAGTGTGAGTGAGTGGGTGGGTGTATGTGTGTGAGAGTATGTGAGAGTGTGAGTGAGTGGGTGGGTGTGTGGGGTGTGTGAGTATGTGAGAGTGTGTGTGGGTGTGTGGGGTGTGTGAGTATGTGACAGTGAGTGGGTGGGTGTGTGGTGTGTGTGAGAGTATGTGACAGTGTGAGTGGGTGTGTGTGAGAGTATGTGAGAGTGTGAGTGAGTGGGTGGGGTGTGTGTATGTGAGAGTATGTGTGAGTGGGTGGGTGTGTGGGGTGTGTGAGTATGTGAGAGTGTGTGTGAGTGGGTGTGTATGAGAGTGTGTGTGAGTGGGTGTGTGTGTGTGTGTATATGTGAGAGTGTGTGAGTGGGTGGGTGTGAGAGTGTGTGTGAGTGTGTTGGTTGTGTGGGGTGTGTGTGAGAGTGTGTGTGAGTGGGTGGGGTGTGTGTGAGAGTATGTGAGAGTGTGTGTGAGTGGGTGGGTGTATGGGGGAGTATGTGAGAGTGTGTGTGAGTGGGTGTGTGTGAGAGTATGTGAGAGTGTGTGAGTGGGTGGGTGTGTGTGAGAGTATGTGAGAGTGTGTGTGAGTGGGTGTGTGTGAGAGTGTGTGTGAGTGGGTGTGTGTGTGTGTGTATGTGAGAGTGTGTGTGAGTGTGTGTGTGAGTATGTGAGAGTGTGTGTGAGTGGGTGTGTGTGTGTGTGTGAGAGTGTGTGTGAGTGTGTGTGTGAGTGTATGTGAGAGTGTGTGTGAGTGTGTGTGTGAGTGTATGTGAGAGTGTGTGTGAGTGTGTGTGTGAGTATGTGAGAGTGTGTGTGAGTGGGTGTGTGTGTGTGTATGTGAGAGTATGTGAGTGGGTGGGTGTGCGGGGGGTGCTTTGGCGATGCTGATGATGCGGCACATTCATTGATGAGACTCGGGGTAGTCGGGTTTGACTCATTCACGCCCCACAGCTGTGCCAGTGCATTAGCTCCGTCTGCCATTGTGTGTCAGTGTGTGTGTGTGTCAGTGTGTGTGTGTCAGTTTGTGTGTGTCAATGTGTCAATTTGTGTGTGTCAGTGTGTGTGTGTGTGTCAGTGTGTGTGTGTCAGTGTGTGTCAGTTTCTGTGTGTCAGTGTGTGTCAGTGTCTGTCAGTGTGTGTGTGTCAGTGTGTGTCAGTGTGTGTGTGTCAGTTTGTGTGTGTCAGTGTGTGTGTCAGTGTGTGTCAGTGTGTGTGTCAGTGTGTGTGTGTCAGTGTGTGTGTGTGTCAGTGTGTGTGTGTCAGTGTGTGTGTGTCAGTGTGTGTCTGTGTGTGGGGAGTGATAGTGTAGCGGTTAGCGCACTGCGCTATGAACCTGGCGACCCGGGTTCGATTCCCGCTCACGGCCAACACCGGTGACGATTATCTGAACCGGTCCCGGGCCTCCCCTAGGTCGACTCAGCCTGAAATGAGAACCTGGTGCGGTGTGTAAACATCGCCACTGGGGAGACAAAGGCGGCCGGGCGTGGTGCTGGTAGCCACCCACCCCCTCGTGTACCGTTACCGGCCTTCATAGGTGGTGCTCGCTAACACCACTTGCCCCTACAGTCTGTTAAGGCTGCGCGGGGGATCTTTGTCTTCCCCGTTGGTTCCAGACGGCAACACTGTGGTGAGCAGTGCCTTGGGGGGGGGGAGGGCAAACTGAGATTCGCCTTTCCCTTCATGGCGTCTGTGACCACCACAGCGGCCAAACGGGGGCTCTGGACGGGTGCGAGGAGCTGGTAACACCTCCACCAAACCACAAAACACTAAAAATATCAAACGAAATTTGTGCTGGAGGCCCCCGGGGGGACAGCCGTCTATGACGTCTCCTGGCCAAACCCCAATTGGCGGAGCCAGGAGAAATGAATCTCAACCCTCGGGGCTCCTCCAGAAACAACGAAAAGCCACTTGGTGTGGCCACGTGGAATGTTCGAACGCTCACAGCGGAGGAGAGGCTGCCGCTCTGTCTGTCGGGAGCTGGACCGGTACCGCCTGGATCTCTGTGGCATTCAGGAGGTCCGGTGGACCGGTTCTGGCTCCTGCCACCATGAGGGGTGGACAGTTCCTCTACTCGGGGCAGCAGACTGCCAAACAACAGGGAGTGGCTCTTCTTTTGAACAAAAGAATGAAGGGGGTGTGGGAGCGTGGCGGTGAGGTGTGGGAAGCTGTAAGCCCCAGGTTACTTTGGGCTTGCCTTCCCATCAACCAGAGGCGAGGAGTGGTGGTCGTGGTTACTTATGCCCCCACTGAAGACGAACATCCGTGGAAGGATGCAGGCAAGGCAGTTGTGGAGAGAGTGGAGAGTTTCCCATACCTGGGCAGTGTGCTCATGACCGGCTCCGGTTTGATAGCAGAGGTCTCACTCTGAATCAGTCGAGCGGCAATATCTTTTCATCGGTTGCGTAACGCTGTGTGGAAGCTACCTGGTCTGTCGCTCCGCACTAAGCTTCAGGTCTTCTCGGCCACGGTCATTCCCTCCCTTCTCTGCGCTTGCGAAACGTGGACCCCCCTGATGGAGCATCTTCGCCGGTTAGAAAGATTTAGGCTGGCCTGCTTACGATCCATCCTGGGTTTAACCTGCAGGCTGGATTGTGTGAGGAGCTCACAAATCCTTGAAAGATCTGGGCAAGGTCCCATCGGTGAGCTCCTCCGGCGGGCAAGGCTGCGTTGGCTGGGTCATGTAGCCCGCATGCCCAGCCACCGCATGCCGAAACAGCTTTTGTTCGGCCGGATCGAGGGGGCTAAACGGGGGCGGCACGGGCTAGAGACGAGATGGAGTGATGTGGTACAGGAGGACGTGGAGCTGAGTGGACTTGCCGATGACTGGTACCAGCGGTGTCAAGATCGGCCTCTGTGGAGGAGGCTCGTGAAGGACGCTACTGGGCAGTTGGAGGCAGTCGCCCTCCAACAACAACGGAGGGTGGAGGAGCGACGCTCACAACAGCGAGCGGAGCGCCGGGTGGCTAAAGCACAGCAGGTTGGCACAGTAGGGGGCACAGGTGGTGCATCAGCCAGTCATCTCAGTCAGTCGACCCGTGGCACCTGCTGGGTCTGCCCCGTGACCTCCTGCCAGCGGGCGTTCGACACTTCACGTGGCCTCAGGGTGCACATAGCCTGGCACAAGCGTCGTGGTGACGTCACCGCCACTTAGTGGCGAATGGCGGTTGTTGTTGTTGTGTCAGTGTGTGTGTCAGTGTGTGACTGTGTGTGTGTGACTGTGTGTGTGTCTGTGTGTGTGTCTGTGTGTGTGTCTGTGTGTGTGTGTCACTGTGTGTCCGGGTGTGATAGTGTTCAATTCACGCTCACACCGGTGACGATTATCTGAAACGGTCTTGGGCCTCCTCTAGGTCGACTCAGTCTCAAATGAGTACCTGGTGTGGTGTGTAGTGAACATCGCCACTGGGGAGACAAAGGCGGCCGGGCGTGGTGGTGGCCACCGACCCCCTCGTGTGTGCCACACCGCCGGTAGCCTTCATAGACGCTGCCGCTACTCGCTACTAACAGCACTTGCCCCTACAGCCTGCTAGAGGCTACCTGGGGGATCTTTGTCTGTGTGTGTAGGTGCTGCTACTCGCTACTAACAGCACTTGCCCCTACAGCCTGCTAGAGGCTACCTGGGGGATCTTTGTCTGTGTGTGTAGGTGCTGCTACTCGCTACTAACAGCACTTGCCCCTACAGCACTGCTAGAGGCTACCTGGGGGATCTTTGTCTTTGTGTGTGTAGGTGCTGCTACTCGCTACTAACAGCACTTGCCCCTACAGCACTGCTAGAGGCTACCTGGGGGATCTTTGTCTTTGTGTGTGTAGGTGCTGCTACTCGCTACTCACAGCACTTGCCCCTACAGCCTGCTAGAGGCTACCTGGGGGATCTTTGTGTGTGTGTAGGTGCTGCTACTCGCTACTAACAGCACTTGCCCCTACAGCCTGCTAGAGGCTACCTGGGGGATCTTTGTGTGTGTAGGTGCTGCTACTCGCTACTAACAGCACTTGCCCCTACAGCCTGCTAGAGGCTACCTGGGGGATCTTTGTCTGTGTGTGTAGGTGCTGCTACTCGCTACTAACAGCACTTGCCCCTACAGCCTGCTAGAGGCTACCTGGGGGATCTTTGTGTGTGTGGGTGTAGGTGCTGCTACTCGCTACTAACAGCACTTGCCCCTACAGCCCTGCTAGAGGCTACCTGAAGGATCTTTGTGTGTGTGTGTAGGTGCTGCTACTCGCTACTAACAGCACTTGCCCCTACAGCCTGCTAGAGGCTACCTGGGGGATCTTTGTCTGTGTGTGTAGGTGCTGCTGCTACTCGCTACTAACAGCACTTGCCCCTACAGCCTGCTAGAGGCTACCTGGGGGATCTTTGTGTGTGTAGGTGCTGCTACTCGCTACTAACAGCACTTGCCCCTACATCCTGCTAGAGGCTACCTGGGGGATCTTTGTCTGTGTGTGTAGGTGCTGCTACTCGCTAGTAACAGCACTTGCCCCTACAGGTTGCTAGAGGCTACCTGGGGGATCTTTGTCTGTGTCTGTGTAGATTACCTGGACAATGCAAACAACAAGATGGCCATCCAACAGGCGGACCGCGTCCTCAAGAAACACAGAGACCTACACTGTGCCAAGGTGCACACACACACACAGTCACACACACACACACACAGTCACACACACACAGTCACACACACACACACAGTCACACACACACAGTCACACACACATACACACAGTCACACACACCTACACACAGTCACACACATACACCTACACACACACAGTCACACACCTACATACACACACAGTCACACACACACACCTACACACACACAGTCACACACACACCTACACACACACAGTCACACACACCTACACACACACACACACAGTCACACACCCACACCTACACACACACACAGTCACACACACACACAGTCACACACCCACACCTACACACACACACAGTCACACACACACACCTACACACACACCTGCACACACACACACCTACACACACACACAGTCACACTCACACACCTACACACACACACACACCTACACACACACACCTAAACACACACACAGTCACACACACACCTACACACACACCTACACACACCTACACACACACACCTACACACACACACAGTCACACACACACACAGTCACACCTACACACACACACAGTCACACACACACCTACACACACCTACACACACACCTACACACACAGTCACACACACACACACACCTACACACACACAGTCACACACACCTACACACACCTACACACACACACAGTCACACACACACACCTACACACACACACAGTCACACACACACAGTCACACACCCGCACCTACACACACACACAGTCGCACACACACAGTCATACTCACACACCTACACACACACACACCTACACACACACACCTACACACACACCTACACACACACACACCTACACACACACACACAGTCACACTCACACACCTACACACACACACACACCTACACACACACACCTACACACACACACCTACACACACCTACACACACCTACACACACACCTACACACACACGTACACACACACACGTACACACACACACCTACACACACACACTTACACACACACACCTACACACACACACCTACACACACACACACCTACACACACACACACCTGGGCCACGAGGGTAGGTGGTGGGTGAGTTAGTGGCTGGGTGAATGAATGGGTGAGTGGGTGGCTGGGTCAGTGAGTGAGTGAGTTAGCAAGTGGGTGAGTGAGTGCGTGCGTGGCTGGGTCAGTGAGTGAGTGAGTGGATCGGTGGGTGGGTGGGTGGGTGAGTGAGTGGGTGGGTGGGTGGGTGAGTGAGTGGGTGGGTGGGTGAGTGAGTGGGTGGGTGGGTGGGTGAGTGAGTGGGTGGGTGGGTGAGGTGAGTGAGTGGGTGGGTGGGTGAGGTGAGTGAGTGGGTGGGTGGGTGAGTGAGTGAGTGGGTGAGTGAATGAGTGGGTGAGTGAATGAGTGAGTGAGTGGGTGAGTGGGTGAGTGAGTGAGTGAGTAGGTGAGTGAGTGGGTGAGTGAGCGAGTGGGTGAGCGAGTTGGTGAGTGAGTGGTGAGCGAGTTGGTGAGTGAGTGGTGAGTCAGTGGGTGAGCGAGTTGGTCAGCGAGTTGGTGAGCGAGTTGGTGGGTGAGCGAGTGGGTGAGCGAGTTGGTGAGCGAGTGGGTGAGCGAGTTGGTGAGCGAGTTGGTGGGCGAGTGGGTGAGTGAGTTGGTGAGCGAGTGGGTGAGCGAGTGGGTGAGTAAGTTGGTGAGCGAGTTGGTGACTGAGTGAGTGAGTGGTAGCGAAGTGGTGAGCGAGTTGGTGAGTGAGTGGGTTAGTGAGTGGCTGGGTGAGTGACTGAGTGGGTGAGCGAGTTGGTGAGCGAGTTGGTGAGTGAGTGGTGAGTGAGTGGGTTAGTGAGTGGCTGGGTGAGTGACTGAGTGGGTGAGCGAGTTGGTGAGTTGGTGACTGAGTGAGCGAGTGAGTGAGCGAGCGAGTGAGTGAGCGAGTGAGTGAGCGAGTTGGTGAGTTGGTTACTGAGTGAGTGAGTGGTGAGCGAGTTGGTGAGCGAGTTGGTGAGTGTGTGGGTTAGTGTGTGGCTGGGTGAGTGACTGAGTGGGTGAGTGACTGAGTGGGTGAGTGAGTGGTGAGTGAGTGGGTTAGTGAGTGACTGAGTGGGTGAGCGAGTTGGTGAGCGAGTTGGTGAGCGAGTTGGTGAGCGAGTGGGTGAGTGTCTGCCCTCACCTCCAGGTGCTCAAGGCGATTGGCCTGCAGCGTCTTGGCCGCCAGGATGAGGCCCTGGGCCTCGCTCGTGACGTTGCTGCTCTGGAACCGACAGACGACAACTCACTACAGGCACTCACCATCCTGTACCGGGAGATGCATCGGCGTGCGTGACACCCAGTCACTCACCTAGACACTCACCTAGTCACTCACCTAGTCACTCACCTAGTCACTTACCTAGTCACTCACCTAGACACTCACCTAGTCACTCAGTCACTCACTCACCTAGACACTCACCTAGTCACTCACCTAGACACCTAGTCACTCACCTAGACACTCACCTAGTCACTCAGCCAGACACTCACCCAGACACTCACCTAGTCACTCACCTAGACACCTAGTCACTCACCTAGACACTCACCTAGTCACTCACCTAGACACTCACCTAGTCACTCACCCAGTCACTCACCTAGTCACTCACCCAGTCACTCACCCAGTCACTCACCCAGTCACTCACCTAGTCACTCACCCAGTCACTCACCTAGTCACTCACCTAGACACCTAGTCACTCACCTAGACACTCACCTAGTCACTCAGCCAGACACTCACCCAGACACTCACCTAGTCACTCACCTAGACACCTAGTCACTCACCTGGACACTCACCTAGTCACTCACCTAGACACTCACCCAGTCACTCACCTAGTCACTCACCTAGACACTCACCCAGTCACTCACCCAGTCACTCACCTAGTCACTCACCTAGTCACTCACCTAGTCACTCACCTAGTCACTCACCTAGTCACTCACCTAGACACTCACCTAGTCACTCACCCAGTCACTCACCTAGTCACTCACCCAGTCACTCACCTAGTCACTCACCTAGACACTCACCCAGTCACTCACCCAGTCACTCACCCAGTCACTCACCTAGTCACTCACCTAGTCACTCACCTAGTCACTCACCTAGACACCTAGTCACTCACCTAGTCACTCACCCAGTCACTCACCTAGTCACTCACCTAGTCACTCACCTAGTCACTCACCTAGACACCCAGTCACTCACCTAGTCACTCACCCAGTCACTCACCTAGGCACTCACCTAGTCACTCAGCCAGTCACTCACCTAGTCACTCACCTAGTCACTCACCTAGTCACTCAACTAGTCACTCACCCAGTCACTCACCCAGTCACTCACCTAGTCACTCACCCAGTCACTCAGTCACTCACCCAGTCACTCACCTAGTCACTCACCTAGTCACTCACCTAGTCACTCAACTAGTCACTCACCTAGTCACTCACCTAGTCACTCACCTAGTCACTCACCTAGTCACTCAACTAGTCACTCAACTAGTCACTCAACTAGTCACTCACCTAGTCACTCAGTTAGTCACTCACTTAGTCACTCACCTAGTCACTCGCCCAGTCACTCACACAGTCACTCACCTAGTCACTCAGTCACTCACCTAGTCACTCACCTAGTCACTCACCTAGTCACTCACCTAGACACTCACCTAGTCACTCACCTAGTCACTCACCTAGTCACTCACCTAGTCACTCACCCAGTCACTCACCTAGTCACTCACCCAGTCACTCAACTTGTCACTCAGCCAGTCACTCACCCAGTCACTCACCTAGTCACTCACCCAGACACTCACCCAGACACTCACCCAGACACTCACCTAGTCACTCACCTAGTCACTCACCCAGTCACTCACCCAGACACCCAGTCACTCACCTAGACACTCACCTAGTCACTCACCTAGTCACCTAGTCACTCACCTAGTCACTCACCTAGTCACTCACCTAGTCACCCAGTCACTCACCTAGACACTCACCCAGTCACTCACCAGTCACTCACCCAGTCACTCACCAGTCACTCACCTAGACACTCACCCAGTCACTCACCTAGTCACTCACCTAGACACTCACCCAGTCACCCAGTCACTCACCCAGTCACTCACCTAGTCACTCACCTAGTCACTCACCCAGTCACTCACCCAGTCACTCACCCAGACACTCACCCAGTCACTCACCCAGACACTCAGTCACTCACTTAGACACTCACCCAGACACTCACCCAGTCACTCACCCAGTCACTCACCTAGTCACTCACCCAGTCACTCACCTAGACACTCACTTAGTCATTCAGCCAGTCACTCACCTAGACACTCACCTAGTCACTCACCCAGTCACTCACCTAGACACTCACCCAGTCACTCACCCAGTCACTCACCTAGACACTCACCCAGTCACTCACCCAGTCACTCACCTAGTCACTTACCCAGTCACTCACCTAGACACTCACTTAGTCACTCAGCCAGTCACTCACCTAGACACTCACCTAGTCACTCACCCAGTCACTCACCCAGTCACTCACCTAGTCACTCACCTAGTCACTCACCCAGTCACTCACCTAGACACTCACTTAGTCACTCAGCCAGTCACTCACCTAGACACTCACCCAGTCACTCACCTAGTCACTCACCCAGTCACTCACCCAGACACTCACTTAGTCACTCAGCCAGTCACTCACCTAGACACTCACCCAGTCACTCACCCAGTCACTCACCTAGACACTCACCTAGTCAATCAGCCAGTCACTCACCCAGTCACTCACCTAGACACTCACCCAGTCACTCAGCCAGTCACTCACCCAGTCACTCACCTAGTCACTCACCTAGTCACTCAACCAGTCACTCACCCAGTCACTCACCTAGACACTCACCTAGTCACTCACCTAGTCACTCACCTAGACACTCACCCAGTCACTCACCTAGTCACTCACCTAGACACTCACCCAGTCACCCAGTCACTCACCCAGTCACTCACCTAGTCACTCACCTAGTCACTCACCCAGTCACTCACCCAGTCACTCACCCAGACACTCACCCAGTCACTCACCCAGACACTCAGTCACTCTCTTAGACACTCACCCAGACACTCACCCAGTCACTCACCCAGTCACTCACCTAGTCACTCACCCAGTCACTCACCTAGACACTCACTTAGTCATTCAGCCAGTCACTCACCTAGACACTCACCTAGTCACTCACCCAGTCACTCACCTAGACACTCACCCAGTCACTCACCCAGTCACTCACCTAGACACTCACCCAGTCACTCACCCAGTCACTCACCTAGTCACTTACCCAGTCACTCACCTAGACACTCACTTAGTCACTCAGCCAGTCACTCACCTAGACACTCACCTAGTCACTCACCCAGTCACTCACCCAGTCACTCACCTAGTCACTCACCTAGTCACTCACCCAGTCACTCACCTAGACACTCACTTAGTCACTCAGCCAGTCACTCACCTAGACACTCACCCAGTCACTCACCTAGTCACTCACCCAGTCACTCACCTAGACACTCACCTAGTCACTCACCCAGTCACTCACCTAGACACTCACCAAGTCACTCACCCAGTCACTCACCTAGACACTCACCTAGTCAATCAGCCAGTCACTCACCCAGTCACTCACCTAGACACTCACCCAGTCACTCAGCCAGTCACTCACCCAGTCACTCACCTAGTCACTCACCTAGTCACTCAACCAGTCACTCACCCAGTCACTCACCTAGACACTCACCTAGTCACTCACCTAGTCACTCACCTAGACACTCACCTAGTCACTCACCCAGTCACTCACCTAGTCACTCACCTAGTCACTCACCTAGTCACTCACTCAGATACTCACCTAGTCACTCACCTAGTCACTCACCTAGTCACTCACCCAGACACTCACCCAGTCACTCACCCAGTCACTCACCCAGTCACTCACCCAGTCACTCACCTTGTCACTCAGCCAGTCACTCACCCAGTCACTCACCTTGTCACTCACCCAGTCACTCACCCAGTCACTCACCCAGTCACTCACCCAGTCACTCACCTTGTCACTCAGCCAGTCACTCACCCAGTCACTCACCTTGTCACTCAGCCAGTCACTCACCCAGTCACTCACCTAGTCACTCACCCAGACACTCACCCAGTCACTCACCTTGTCACTCAGCCAGTCACTCACCCAGTCACTCACCCAGTCACTCACCTTGTCACTCAGCCAGTCACTCACCCAGTCACTCACCTAGTCACTCACCCAGACACTCACCCAGACACTCACCTAGTCACTCACCTAGTCACTCACCCAGTCACTCACCCAGACACCCAGTCACTCACCTAGACACTCACCTAGTCACTCACCTAGTCACCTAGTCACTAACCTAGTCACTCACCTAGTCACTCAGCCAGTCACTCACCCAGTCACTCACCTAGTCACTCACCCAGACACTCACCCAGTCACTCACCTTGTCACTCAGCCAGTCACTCACCCAGTCACTCACCCAGTCACTCACCTTGTCACTCAGCCAGTCACTCACCCAGTCACTCACCTAGTCACTCACCCAGACACTCACCCAGACACTCACCTAGTCACTCACCTAGACACTCACCTAGTCACTCACCTAGACACTCACCTAGTCACTCACCCAGTCACTCACCTAGTCACTCACCCAGTCACTCACCCAGTCACTCACCCAGTCACTCACCTAGTCACTCACCCAGTCACTCACCTAGTCACTCACCTAGACACCTAGTCACTCACCTAGACACTCACCTAGTCACTCAGCCAGACACTCACCCAGACACTCACCTAGTCACTCACCTAGACACCTAGTCACTCACCTGGACACTCACCTAGTCACTCACCTAGACACTCACCCAGTCACTCACCTAGTCACTCACCTAGTCACTCACCCAGTCACTCACCCAGTCACTCACCTAGTCACTCACCTAGTCACTCACCTAGTCACTCACCTAGTCACTCACCTAGTCACTCACCTAGACACTCACCTAGTCACTCACCCAGTCACTCACCTAGTCACTCACCCAGTCACTCACCTAGTCACTCACCTAGACACTCACCCAGTCACTCACCCAGTCACTCACCCAGTCACTCACCTAGTCACTCACCTAGTCACTCACCTAGTCACTCACCTAGACACCTAGTCACTCACCTAGTCACTCACCCAGTCACTCACCTAGTCACTCACCTAGTCACTCACCTAGTCACTCACCTAGTCACTCACCTAGACACCCAGTCACTCACCTAGTCACTCACCCAGTCACTCACCTAGGCACTCACCTAGTCACTCAGCCAGTCACTCA